ACTGCCATAGTATTAAGGGCTGGAATGGGGAGGAATTTGTTACGTGTGTTCAGGAAAAATTTCTCAATTAATATATAGATGGCCCTACCAGAGGAGGGGCAAAACTTGAACTCCTCTTGGTAAATGAGGCAGTGAAAGTGACTGAGGTGCTAGTCGGGGAGTACTTTGGGACCAATGACCATAAATTAATTAGTTTTAAAAGTTATGGAAAAGGATAGCTCTGGTCCATATGTTAAAGTTCTAAACTGGGGCAAGGCTAATTTTGATGCTATTAGACGGGAACTTTCAAAAGTTATTTGGGGCAGGCTGTTCACAGGTCAAGGGCTGTGTGGCAAGTGGGAGGCTTTCAAAAGTGAGATAATGAGATTTCATGGCCAGCATGCTCCTGTTAGGCAAGGCTGGCAGAAGTAGGGAACACTGGATGACTAGAGACATTGAAGCTCTGGTCAAGAAAAAGATGGCATATGTCAGGAATAGGCAGTTGGAATCAAGTGAATCCCTTAAGGATTTCAGATTTAAGTTTTATTGTCACGTATAATCAAGTACGGGGTACAAGAATACAGTGAAAAGAATACAATGTTGCCACATATGGCACCATCTTTGGTACAAAATCTTAGTTACAGAAATAGAAAAATAAAGAAATAAGTTAAAAGGTCAGCACTACAGTCTTAGCATTAAAGTAGAAAAATAAAGAAATAAAGCCAAAATATCAAACTTAACAGTCCTTTCTTGAGCTATGGGCCTGCAGATGCTTCAAGCTAAGCTTCCGAAGAGAATTCACGCTCTCCCAATTTGGGCATGCTTTGTTTTTTTTAAGTGTCCATCTCAGTCATAGAGAAAAAGGCCCTTCAGCTCATTGCGCATACACCAGTCAAAAACAACCATAAATTATTCTAATCCCATTTTCTAGCACTTGGCCTTGTATGTCTTGGTACTGCAAGTGCACATTTACATTCTTAAATGACATACTTTCAAAATGTCCTGTGGGTTCATGGCTCAACTACCCTTTAAGGCATTTAATTCCTAATACCCATCAACCACTGAATGAAGATGATTTTCCTTAAATCCCTCTGACTCCTAATCTTAAAACTGTGTCTCCTGGTTATTCACCCCTCTAATAAGGGAGGGGAATCATTTCTCCCTATCTATCCTGTCTATGCTCCACAGAACTTTGTAGAATTCAAATCAGCTCACCCCTCAACCTTCTCTGTTCTAAGGAGAACAACTGCAGCCTGTCTGGTCTCTCTTCACAACAGAATCATTTCAGCACAGGCAACATCTGGCGAATCTCTTCTGGCCCTTTTTGAGTGCCATCACCTCCTTCCTACAGTGTTGCAACTAGAACTACATTGGTTGGAAGGAGGCAGGGAGGGAGGGAAGAGATGGCAACCGTTATGTGGTCACTTGGATTTGAAAGGAATCAAGGGGAATGGGGAGAAAGTGGGAATAGGGCACTGAGATGCAGGATTGTCCACAAATAGCATAGCAGGCCTAAAGGGCAGAATGGCCTGGTCTTGCTGTCAGTTTTTATGCATACAATATAGTTGAAGGGTCAAAATTAAGGGGGCACAACTTTAAACTGAAAAATAGGAGGGTTTGAGGAAGAAATGTGCACCCAGAGGTTTGGGGAAGGAGGCTTCTGGATCTAGAATGCACTAGTTAAGGCGGGTAACCTCACAACCTTTAAAAGTGAACACTTTGACGTGTCATAACATTCATGGCTATAGAGGTAGTACAGCAAAGTAAGACCAGTGCAGGTAGTATTAGGGTCCGCGATCTGACCTTCGAAAGCTTGTACTTACGAGCATTGGGTGTAATTTTAAAGCAGAGATCGGAAGGGTCAGATGACTCTCTCCATAGATACCGCCAGACCTGGGCAGTATCTCCGGGTATTTCTGCTTTGTGTTTCAGATTTCCAGCACTGTTTTGTGCAGTTTTAAAGAGACATAGGAACAATCCCTGACAAAAATCGACTCGCCAACGGACTCCGCAAGGGAAAAGCCTCACAGCCCGGGGACTACCTGCCCGGTATTTTTGCTTTAGCGGTAAAGATTCGACAGGCCGACTTTTATACTAGACGGTTCTACAGCACTCTACCTGAGCCCTAACCCCTAATCTACGTGACCCTCCACCAACACCTTCTCCTCGCCGCTTTTCACAGGGTGGCGGTTTGGGCGGGAATTTCAAACCGCCTCGAGGCTGCTGAGTGCGCGTGGGTTGGGGGGTGAGGGGGGGCGGGGAATGCGTCAGCGCCACTGACGTCAGACGGCGGTGTCACGCGCTTTCATTGCGCACCGCGAGAGGTGGGTGGGCAGTCGCGGCTGCGCCTGCGCGCGCTGGCCTGCGGCGCGCTATTGGAAGAGGTCGGGGGGGGGGCGCGTCCGTCCGTGCGTGCGCGCTCTCGCGAGCTGTCCGTTTAAATGTAAACAAGAGGCGTCGGGCGAAACGCACGCGAGAAAGGGAGGGGGGAAGGAAAGGGAAAAAAAAACCCCTTCCGACCATTAACTCCTTGAACCCGGGGTGGTAGCTGCCATTTCTTTCATCCCCTCTGCACCTCTTTCGATACGTCGTCCGGTCTTTCGAAAGCAGCAGTGGTGCGTGTTTTCGTCTTGGCGCTATTTGTGCGAGGGGGGAGGGCGGGGAAGGAACGGCGCGGGGCCTAGGCCTCAGGCTCCGGTCTGTTCTTCACGCTGTTCCCGCTCTGAGCGAGCGAGGGGGAGGGAGGTTTAAAAAAAAAACAAACCCGCCGTCATCCCGCGGCCCAGCCCTTTGGATCCCCGCTGCTGATTCAGGCCAGCCTCCACCATCTACACACACACACATGCACTCTCCACCATCACCACCTGCTTGATCAGAGGAGACGAAAGGTAAAAGACTACATGAAAGGAGAGCCTTGCGTTTGGTTTGTTTTCATTAATCAAAAGCGTTCTTGTGTGCTCACTTAGATCCAGGTGAATAACTGTCTCTTTTATATTCCCCTCTTGACCTGACTCATCATTGGTTATAGAGTCGGGCTATTTGGTGCTGTCAGAGTCCGAAAGTGCAGTGTCATCGCCAGGACTTAATTTTGTCTCGGTTGTTCACCCAAACCCTTATTTTTGTTATTAATTTCGTTGTCAGTAATTGGTTTGTTTCGGGTTTTATTCTAAAATCCCAATGCAGCATAGACCCGCGCCGTTTTTTTAAAAAAAAATGTTTGTCAGGCTATCCAATTGTGGGGGGCATCACATCCGCGCTGGACTCGAAGTCTCTTACTTGCTACTAAAGTGAAAAGAGGCAAGCGGGTCAACAGTGTATTTTATTTTAATTCATCAGTACGTGCCAAAGGATAGCATTTGTAGTTGGGGATAGTGAGCTTCGTTCAACCGGTGTAGTTTGTTGTAGCAGTTGAGTTAACCATATTGCTGTGGTGTTGGAAGCGTGTAGGTTAGAACAGTACAGGCCCTTCGGCCCCACAATGTTGTGCCGACCTATTATCCTACTCTAAGATCAAACTACCCTACATTTTATTATCGTCCACGTGCCTATCCAAGAGTCGCTTAAATGTCACTAAAGTATCTGACTCCACTACCACTGCTGGCAAAGCATTCTACGCACCCACCACTCTCTGTGTAAAGAAACTACCTCTGACATCTCCCCTATACCTTCCTCCAATCACCTTAAAATTATGCCCCCTCGTAATAGTCATTTCCACCCTGGGAAAAGGTCTCTGCTATCCACTCTATCTATGCCTCTCATCATCTTGTACACCTCTATCAAGTCACCTGTCATCCTCCTTCGCTCCAATGAAAAAAGCCCTAGCTCACTCAACCTTGCCTTATAAAACCTGCCCTCCAGTCCAGGAAGCATCCTGGTAAGTCTCCTCTGCACCCTGTCTAAAGCTTCCACATCTTTCCCATAATGATGTGACCAGAACTGAACACAATATTCCAAGTGTAGTCTAGCCTGTGTTTTATAGAGCTGCAGCATAACCTCACGGCTCTTAACCTCAATTCCCCTGCCAATGAGAGCCAACCCACCATATGCCTTCTTTACACCCTATCAACTTAGGCCAGGCAAGGACAACAGATTTCCAACATGGTAAATCTAACTTTAATATTGTATAAGAAAATCTCAAGTGTCGTGCTTACCATTACTGTGAGCCATTTTTAATTCCATATTTATATCACTGAATTCTGTAACTACTGTTTTGGCATTTGAACTGTTTGCTGGAATTTTAGTCCAGAGCTCTGGACTAATCATTCAGTAATACAGCCAGTATGTTACTTGTATCTAATCATGCATTCTGTTACAGGAATTACCAGATAGCAATTAGGAGTGGGACATGAGGTTTTTTTTTTTGTTGTCGTTTCTTCCACAGTATTTTGAGGATGTCACAGCAAGTTGAATTCTCACTATTTAATCTATCAAAAAATAGCATGATTGAACCTTGCTCTTTCAGGCATGTTTACCTTGGTACCACACTTTTAAAAAAGATCCATTTGCCTACTATACTACCAAATGGTGTTAACAATGAATTTAGTTAATGGTTAACATCAATAACTGGGCATATTGTGTATTGTTGATTTAAATTTTGAGTATTCTCAATTAGGACGAGGGATTAGTTCATGAAAATGTTTTTGACCTGGCGTATCTTCCTGCTTCAACATAATTGACAGCATTCTGGCTTCCAGTAGATGATTTTGTGTGTGTGTGTGTGTGTGTATGCGCGCGCGCACTAATTTGATCTGCATTCATGATTCTTAAAATAAATCTGGTTGCAGGTAATGTAATCTACATGCATCTGCTTAATCAGTTTTAGTCAGCTACTTCAGAAGTTCTGACATAGGACAGCTAGTTTAACTTATTGCTGTTTATGGATAAAAAATCAATTAAATGTTTTAATGAATTTTTAGAGATATAAATTTTTGTCAAGATGCTCGGCTACTGAAGTGGCCGACTGCTGTGAAGTCTGTGAATTGCATTTGGGACATTTGAAGAACATAAAGGTGCATTACACATGAAGTTAGAATCAATATGGGGAGTACTGTGGCTTAGCAGTTAGCAATGTTGCCTCACAGTGCTAGGGATCTGGGTTTGATCGCAACCTCGGGCGACTGTCTGTGCAAAGTCTGCACAGATGTTCTCCTCGTGTCTGCCTGAGTTTACTTCAAGTGGTTCGGTTCCCTCCCGTAGTCCAAAGTTGTGCAGGTTAGGTGGATTGGCCATGCTAAATTGCCCATATTGTCCATCGATGTGCAGACTAGGTGGATTAGCCATGGGGAATGCAGGGTTATAGATATGGTCAGGAGGTGTCTCACCTGAAAAATGTTACCTTAAACAGCAGAACACTGCAGTACTAAAGCTGTGAAGATAAAACCAAGTTATGTGCTTTGGTCTCTGGATGGGTGGACATCACCGAACAATAACTCAGAATTTGAAACCTGGTCAATACGGTACTCTCTTGCAAAAACAAAAGGTGCCGTAAGGTAACGTTATACTTCGAAGACTCTTGTGTATCTACAGATGCTCCCAGAGTTACAAACAGGTTCCGTTTCTGAGTACGCTTGTAAATTGACCTGTATGCAAGTCAGAACAAATACAGTACGATATAAAATATTCGAGCAAACTTTCGTATTTTGGGTTCTCAATTGTGCAATGGGATCTCATTTGTAAGCATGAGTGTTTGTAAGTGAGGGGCCCACTGTATGTATCCTTCTGTTCTAGTGCTCCTAATGTCAACTGGTCAAAACCACCACTTTATGTTTGATTGCACAGGTAGCTATTGCAAGGCTTTACAGAAACATTTGTAGCAGAACTAAAGATTGGTTCGTTGAGCTTCAAAGAGGGTCTCAAAAGAAGAAAGGGAAGTGGAGGAATTTGGGAAGAGCACTTAAACAGACAGCAGAGGTAGCTGAAGGTATGGCCCAGATTGGGGGAAATGTTGGAATTGGAGGCCAGAATGAAGATAATGGACAGTTAAGGGAAATGAGATTGCAGACTTGAATGAGGCTAGACGTTGGCAAGGAAAAGGCCTTGGACAATTCAAAATTTGAATGAGAATTGAAAATTTAGGCTCTTCAGGAATTGGAATGAGCGTATGGTGACATCAGAATAGGATACAGATGGATGAGATGAAATGTTATTGCCAGTTGTAGCAGACTGGCTGAGTACTGAAGTAATAAAGTTTGGAGGCGACACAATATGGATAAAAGTTGCAGTAGGTGGATTAAGGTAAGGGTAGAAGTGTGCATTGTTAGACTAGCACAAGTAAGTTGACCTTTGATCATAGACCAGGCCAGGATGATCGATTCCCTTCCCCAAAAGGTGTTAGTGACCCAGATCGGATTTTACCACAATGACTACCTTCATGGTCACTGTCATTGAAATGAACTCTATTTTCCAGATGTTAATTGAATTTAAATTCCATGGTGGGATCTGAACCTGTGCCATCAGAACATTCGCCTGACTTCTGGCTTACTAACTAATCTAGTGATGTTATCATTATTGCCACTGTCTCTCCACTTTACACTCTAAACTGTAGCTTGGAGTTCTAGTCCCCAAACTGTGCTTGAAACTCTATATACTCCACAATATTCCCCACCACAATTCTCCTTGTCTCTTCCAGTTCTGTCTCCAATAACATACACCCCTCCTCTAGAGGCCGCGCCAGCTGCATCATTTCCAATGTTTTGTGCGGAATCGCTCTACAGAGCTCCACAGTGCATATTGCATCTCATGGTAGGTTCTGTTTGTGGATGTGCCCAATTTTGTCAATTTAATGTGGCTCAGGGATGGACAGGACTGACAGCTTAATGTTTCAGGGTATAGATGATATAGGAAGGATAGAAAGGGGGTGCAAGAGAGGAGGGGGAATGGTTGGGGATAACATTAAGGCTGTTTTTGGGGTGGAGATTCCTGGGAGTACCTCCAGTGAAGCTATTTGAGTGGAATTGAGAAATAGGGATGATCATCTTATTGGGATTGTACGAGAGGCCACCCCAGTAGTCAGCGGGAAATTGAGAAGCAACTTTGTAAGGAAATCTAGAGTATCTGTAAGAATAATAGGGTTGGACTGTTACGGGATTGTAACTTTCCAAACATAGATTGAGACTGCCATTGCGTGAAGGGCTTGGATGGAGAGGAATTTATGTGTACAAGAAAAGTTTCTTCAGTATGTAGACACACCTGCTAGAGAAGGAGAAACAATTGATCTTATGGGAAATAAGGCAGGGTAAGTGACTGAGGGGTCAGTGGGGGAGTACTTTGGGACCAGTGATCATAACTATTTTAAAACTAATAGAATTATGGGAAAGGATAGACCTGATATAAAAGTTAGTATTAAAATTGGAGGAAGGCCAATTTTGATGGTATTGGTGAAAACTTTCAAAATTGATTGGGGGAGGCTATTTGCAGGTCAAGAGATGGCTGGAAAGTGGGAAGCTTTTGAAAATGGAGATAACTAGAATCCAGAGATAGTGTTTCTGTTACTGTGGAGGGTAAGGCTGATAGATGTAGGGAATGCTGGATAACCAGAGGAATTGAGGCTCTAGTCAAGAAAAAACAGAGGCATATGTCAAGTATAGACTACTGGGATCGAGTGAATACACAGAAGAGTAGAAGGACAGTAAAAATGTACTCTAGGGAAATCAGGAGGGTGAAAAGAGGGTATGAAATTGCTTTGGCAAATAGGGTTAAGGGGAATGCAGAGAGATTCTACGTGTACATAAAGGACAAAAGAGTAACAAGGGAGAGCATAGGGCCCCTGAAAGATGATAATTCCTGTCTGTGGAACCGCAGGAAATGGGTGAGGAGATAAACAAGTATTTCGTGTAGGTTTTTACTGTGGAGAAGGATATGGAAGGCTAGAGAAATTAGCAAAATAAAT